ACATTTTTTGTTCGAAACTTTTTCCCTATTTTATTGGCGGTATTCCGGAACGATTATCTCGCATATTTAAATTTTCTAAATTTTTTCCAAAATGTTTTTTAGTGTAGCTCAGCATCCGCTTGACCAATCAAAAAGTGCGCTATACATTTTTTGTTCGAAACTTTTTCCCTATTTTATTGGCGGTATTCCGGAACGATTATCTCGCATATTTAAATTTTCTAAATTTTTTCCAAATTTGTTTTCTAGTGTAGCTCAGCATCCGCTGGACCAATCAAAAAGTGCGCTATACATTTTATGTTCGAAACTTTTTCCCTATTTTATTGGCGGTATTCCGGAACGATTATCTCGCAAATTTAATTTTTCTAAATTTTTTCCAAAATGTCTTTTAGTGTAGCTCAGCATCCGCTGGACCAATCAAAAAGTGCGCCATACATTTTTTGTTCGCTACTTTTTGCTAAAGACTTTGGCGGTATTCCCAAACGATTATCTGGAAAATTTAATTTTTCAACAATTTTTCCAAAATGTTTTTTAGTGTAGCTCAGCATCCGCTGGACCAATCAAAAAGTGCGCTATACATTTTATGTTCGAAACTTTTTCCCTATTTTATTGGCGGTATTCCGGAACGATTATCTCGCAAATTTAATTTTTCTAAATTTTTTCCAAAATGTCTTTTAGTGTAGCTCAGCATCCGCTGGACCAATCAAAAAGTGTGCCATACATTTTTTGTTCGAAACTTTTTCCCTATTTTATTGGCGGTATTCCGGAACGATTATCTCGCATATTTAAATTTTCTAAATTTTTTCCAAATTTGTTTTCTAGTGTAGCTCAGCATCCGCTGGACCAATCAAAAAGTGCGCTATACATTTTTTGTTCGCTACTTTTTGCTAAAGACTTTGGCGGTATTCCCAAACGATTATCTCGCAAATTTAATTTTTCTAAATTTTTTCCAAAATGTTTTTTAGTGTAGCTCAGCATCCGCTGGACCAATCAAAAAGTGCGCTATACATTTTTTGTTCGAAACTTTTTCCCTATTTTATTGGCGGTATTCCGGAACGATTATCTCGCATATTTAAATTTTCTAAATTTTTTCCAAAATGTTTTTTAGTGTAGCTCAGCATCCGCTTGACCAATCAAAAAGTGCGCTATACATTTTTTGTTCGAAACTTTTTCCCTATTTTATTGGCGGTATTCCGGAACGATTATCTCGCATATTTAAATTTTCTAAATTTTTTCCAAATTTGTTTTCTAGTGTAGCTCAGCATCCGCTGGACCAATCAAAAAGTGCGCTATACATTTTATGTTCGAAACTTTTTCCCTATTTTATTGGCGGTATTCCGGAACGATTATCTCGCAAATTTAATTTTTCTAAATTTTTTCCAAAATGTCTTTTAGTGTAGCTCAGCATCCGCTGGACCAATCAAAAAGTGCGCCATACATTTTTTGTTCGCTACTTTTTGCTAAAGACTTTGGCGGTATTCCCAAACGATTATCTGGAAAATTTAATTTTTCAACAATTTTTCCAAAATGTTTTTTAGTGTAGCTCAGCATCCGCTGGACCAATCAAAAAGTGCGCTATACATTTTATGTTCGAAACTTTTTCCCTATTTTATTGGCGGTATTCCGGAACGATTATCTCGCAAATTTAATTTTTCTAAATTTTTTCCAAAATGTCTTTTAGTGTAGCTCAGCATCCGCTGGACCAATCAAAAAGTGTGCCATACATTTTTTGTTCGAAACTTTTTCCCTATTTTATTGGCGGTATTCCGGAACGATTATCTCGCATATTTAAATTTTCTAAATTTTTTCCAAATTTGTTTTCTAGTGTAGCTCAGCATCCGCTGGACCAATCAAAAAGTGCGCTATACATTTTTTGTTCGCTACTTTTTGCTAAAGACTTTGGCGGTATTCCCAAACGATTATCTCGCAAATTTAATTTTTCTAAATTTTTTCCAAAATGTTTTTTAGTGTAGCTCAGCATCCGCTGGACCAATCAAAAAGTGCGCTATACATTTTTTGTTCGAAACTTTTTCCCTATTTTATTGGCGGTATTCCGGAACGATTATCTCGCATATTTAAATTTTCTAAATTTTTTCCAAATTTGTTTTCTAGTGTAGCTCAGCATCCGCTGGACCAATCAAAAAGTGCGCTATACATTTTATGTTCGAAACTTTTTCCCTATTTTATTGGCGGTATTCCGGAACGATTATCTCGCAAATTTAATTTTTCTAAATTTTTTCCAAAATGTCTTTTAGTGTAGCTCAGCATCCGCTGGACCAATCAAAAAGTGCGCCATACATTTTTTGTTCGCTACTTTTTGCTAAAGACTTTGGCGGTATTCCCAAACGATTATCTGGAAAATTTAATTTTTCAACAATTTTTCCAAAATGTTTTTTAGTGTAGCTCAGCATCCGCTGGACCAATCAAAAAGTGCGCTATACATTTTATGTTCGAAACTTTTTCCCTATTTTATTGGCGGTATTCCGGAACGATTATCTCGCAAATTTAATTTTTCTAAATTTTTTCCAAAATGTCTTTTAGTGTAGCTCAGCATCCGCTGGACCAATCAAAAAGTGCGCCATACATTTTTTGTTCGCTACTTTTTGCTAAAGACTTTGGCGGTATTCCCAAACGATTATCTGGAAAATTTAATTTTTCAACAATTTTTCCAAAATGTTTTTTAGTGTAGCTCAGCATCCGCTGGACCAATCAAAAAGTGCGCTATACATTTTATGTTCGAAACTTTTTCCCTATTTTATTGGCGGTATTCCGGAACGATTATCTCGCAAATTTAATTTTTCTAAATTTTTTCCAAAATGTCTTTTAGTGTAGCTCAGCATCCGCTGGACCAATCAAAAAGTGTGCCATACATTTTTTGTTCGCTACTTTTTGCTAAAGACTTTGGCAGTATTCCCAAACGATTATCTCGCAAATTTAATTTTTCTAAATTTTTTCCAAAATGTTTTTTAGTGTAGCTCAGCATCCGCTGGACCAATCAAAAAGTGCGCTATACATTTTATGTTCGAAACTTTTTCCCTATTTTATTGGCGGTATTCAGGAACGATTATCTCGCAAATTTAATTTTTCAAATTTTTTTCCAAATTTGTTTTCTAGTGTAGCTCAGCATCCGCTGGACCAATCAAAAAGTGCGCTATACTTTTTTTGTTCGAAACTTTTTCCCTTTTTTATTGGCAGTATTCCGGAACGATTATCTCGCAAATTTAATTTTTCAAATTTTTTTCCAAATTTGTTTTCTAGTGTAGCTCAGCATCCGCTGGACCAATCAAAAAGTGCGCTATACATTTTTTGTTCGCTACTTTTTGCTAAAGACTTTGGCGGTATTCCCAAACGATTATCTCGCAAATTTAATTTTTCTAAATTTTTTCCAAAATGTTTTTTAGTGTAGCTCAGCATCCGCTGGACCAATCAAAAAGTGCGCCATACATTTTTTGTTCGAAACTTTTTCCCTATTTTATTGGCGGTATTCCGGAACGAGTATCTCGCAAATTTAATTTTTCTAAATTTTTTCCAAAATGTTTTTTAGTGTAGCTCAGCATCCGCTGGACCAATCAAAAAGTGTGCCATACATTTTTTGTTCGAAACTTTTTCCGTATTTTTTGGCATTAATCCCGAGTTTTTTTAGGTTAGCCATTAGAATCTCTTCCAATTTTCTCTTTTTTTAATAGCACTTGAAATATATTTCAAATAGAATTATTTGAATTTTAAGCATCAAACATTTTGCAAAGATGGAATATGCGTGATCTCGTAATAAAAAGTGGAAGAAAAATGATTTACTCTCTGTGTAGAAAACGAGAATATCTAGAGTTATAAGTGTATGTATATATTGCTTCGGATCTACTCAGAAAAACATAAACCTTAGATATATGTATGGTTATATACATATATATTTGAAAACAATGCGAAATGGAATTCCATTCGCTAGAGACCAACTGTTTTCCTATTCGTGCACTTTACGAGTTATTATTATTAAAGGCGAGTCATGCTTGAAGTCCATAAACATTTTTTTCCTCTCTCTCTCTCACTTTTGAAGCGCATCGTCGTAATTTCATCGCAAATGGAGATGGGTGTAGTTGCGTTTGCAGGTGAATGTCCATGCAGTAAGAGAGAGCGTGAACGTAACCATTAGGTCCGCACCCCTTGGTGTTATTTACGAGTCAGCTGAAATGAGAGGATCTTAACTGCTGGTCTGCTTCCCTTAAAATCCTCATTTAATTACTCTTTCGAGTTATTGTCACGTCGTTGAATATTCTATAAGGTCGTTAGTAACAAAGATCAAGAGCTACTATAATTTTGTCCTCTTTCTCTCTATATATTTTTTCTAAACCACAAAATTTTCCTTTACTGTTTTTACGATCTTTAATATATTAAATTTCCAAATTGAAAAAGGTCATTACGATGAAGAGGAGAAGTCATTATATGCAGACTAGATTTTACGATTTTGGCTGTATTGAATTTTTTTCTGTACTAAAATTAATTCTGTCATATTATACTTTATATATATCTATATGGCGTAACTTTAAAATCCATTTATCATTTCACCTAAGTCTATATTGTCACACTGTCACGCACACCTCGACTTTAATGCCTTAGTCGTAATAAATTATTTTCAACCCTTGTCCCTTTATACGAGCTAGAGTTTCACTCTTAGATTAATAACGTCTCTTTTGTTATTAAATATCATTTTTCGATGATTTTACTATATAATCAATTTTAAGGTATAGTTTTAATTTTCTAATCTTTTTTTTTATCCTTTTTTTTTTATTTTTCTTATTACTAAAAAAAAAAGTTGTTGCAACTTTTTCACGAAATTAAAAACTTGTTTCCATTTAAAAACAATGTATATAAGTGGCGGTTTTTCATTTAAACTCTCTCCTCCCCAGTAATGGAAGACATTTAATTTCAACCACCTTGTTGAATGTTTTTTTTTTCCTGCGGAAGTTTATATATAAACAGAATGGGAAGAATAACGAAGAGTAATGAAGATGGATAAAGACGCTGAAAACAAAGTTACATCAAGGTAAAGTAAGTGTGAAAACTTAAGAAGAGAAAAAGAGAGTTCAGAATTTGTGTGTGTGTACTGAAAATAAACAACGGAGTAAAATAAAGAGAGAAATAACGAGTGTTTCTTCTTACGAATCAAGAATCTTGTGTCATTTCAAAACAAAAACGACTTTTTACCCCAGCATTCAAGGATGGGGGGGTGGAAAGAACCACCACCAAGGCGAAGAGATGAGAAAGAGGACTGAGGTTTAATATCTCGTGACTCCTAGATCTTGCATTTCTGCATTTGCAATGAGAGGCACATTGGCCCGGATGCGAACGAGTTTTCATCCCCCATTCTCACTATCGCGAGAGGAAGAAGAAGAAGAAGTAAGAGAAGCGCTCGCGACACACACACACAGAGAGAGAGAAGATGAAAGACGGAAGGAATCAACGGGGGCTGCTTCTACTGCTGCTGCTGCCCATACTGGAAGAACTATATTAAAATTCTCTTGGAAATACTCGTAGAGTAAACGTTATTGCAAACGTTTCTCAGAGTCGAACGCGTTTCTTACGAGATTTCATTTTTTTTTTTTTTTTTAAAAAGTAAGGGAGAAGAGGAAAGAGGGATTTAAAAAAAGTCCATTGGCTGGATCTAATTGGTATGCATTTTTAAAAAACAAGTTACTTGGAGATTACTTTTGGAATTGATAAGAGGGAATTGAATAATTCGTAATAAAAATTTTGAAATTTATTTTTTTAAATTTCGCTGGTCGACGAAATTAAATTTAAAAATTAATATGTATTTTTTGAGAATTTTGGTAGTTTTAACACAAGTAGTGGAGGACAGTTTTAGTAAGACGAGTTTTTTTTTGTATCAGTAGTAGACAGTTTTTGGACCAGCAATTATAACTACCTATTTGGAAAAAAATTGTTTTTCGATTTCCCGTTTAAAAAACTATTTTTATAGTTTTTATGGTAGGAGAAAAGTGCAATTTCGATAATACAATTTTGAATTTTTGTACAAGTAGAAAAAACCGGTTATTGTCAGCCAACTTTTACGAATTGTAATTTTAAAATCAATCGTAAAAGTAATTTGAAACTTTCGAATTTTTGTAGTTTTTTTCTTGTTAGGAGAAATGTATAGTTTTGGTCAGACAGGGCATTATAATTTTTGGTAGTAGTATAGTAAGAGTTGGTTTTAGTCAGACAATTCGAATCCTCATAATTTTTTTCTCTCCTCTATAAATTTGAATTAGTAAAAATGTTTACTAATTTAAATTAGTGACTCACTTTTTGCTTTAGAATTAGTTAAATTTTACTAATTGTTAGTAAAAGTTACTAATTGTTAGTAAAAGTTACTAATAATTAGTAAAATTTTACTAATTAAGAAGCCAAAAGTGAGTTACTAATTCAAATTAGTAAATTTTTTTACTAATTCAGATTTAGAGAGTAAAATCTTTTATAAAATTCTAAATTTAAATTTGTTTCAAAGTAGTACAAATCAGTTTTAGTCAGACAATACAATTTCTCTAAATAAAAGTTTCTAAAATAAAAATTTTTCCTAAATATATATTTTTTTTCTATAAATCTAGAGAAAAGAGCAGTGATTTATAAATCTGGTTTGTGAAATAAGGAATTTAATAATACAATTCAAGGGAAAATGAGCTTAGAAACACAACCAATTGATAAACGTTGAGGAGCAAAAGGTGAGATTGTTAGGGTGAAAATGTCGTAATTCTCTTTGACTTTTCTCACGTTGTACGAAAATTCAGACAGAGAAAGAGAAGGAGAAGGAGAGAGAGTATAATAACTCGAAAAGCAAGAAGTGCGCTTGGTGACCAAATAACAAAAGCAGAAACAAAACATCTGGCAAACAATGAAGCCTGCGTGCCAAGGCAATAAAATATGATGCATCGCTTTTGAGTACTTTTCTCTTTGCCAGTTTGAGCTAAATACTATACAAATGCCGTTTGGTCCAATGATTTTGCTCCCGTAGAAAATACAACTGGGCAATTCATCAAGATAACGCATTGAGAAAGACAGAATATTAATAAGCAGATGAAATGGGGTTGCCTTTTGTTCCTCTTTCTCTTCTATTTAATTTAATATATTTAATAAATCTACCATTCATCAAGAGAAAATTCAACCTTCATCCACAATTTTTTTTTAAAAAAAGAAATTTGTTTTCTGTTTTTTTTTTTTTGGAAAATTGTTAAAAGAAAGTATGATGGAAATTTAATAACTACTACTTTTGTAATTTTTTTTTTTTTTTAAGTAAAGTGCAATCTGAACGACTTAATTAGCGACTATGAAAAAAGAAAAATGAGTAATAGAGCGCTCTCGTGTAATCAGTTTCATGACTTAAGAAATATTCTCTAAAAGAGCATTGACTGATATTAGAGAGGAGTTACTTTGAATGTTCAGTGTCTCTCTTTCTCTCTCTCTCTTTCTCTCTTCTTCAAAACGCTCTCTTTTAAGTTTGGTGTCTTCAAGAAATCTTAAAAGGAATCCTGTTAATATTAAATCCATAGATAAGGGATCTTTCTATTTCAAAGTCAGGCGGCTTTCCTTTGAAAATTCTATCTCCTTCTTCTTCTTCTACTTCTTCTCCAAAAACGTTCAACGCTCTTTTTTCAGTTTTTCCTAATTTCATAAAAGGTTTTTTTTTTTTTTTTTTTATTTTCGAAAATTAGAGAACTATTTTTGATTATTCAATTATTTAAATAATTATTCGGTTTTTTCAATAATTATTTAAATAACCCAGGTAGAAAAATTAACATTACTAACGTTACTAATGTTACTAACGTTAGTACCTATAAAAAAATTAAGAAAATGTTTCTAAATTGTATTTTTGCAGAAACATGTCGAAAATCGACCACCAGGAAGTATTTAATGTTCTTACCCGCACTTTTTATAATTTTCATTTCTATTATCACTTCCACTTTTTTATTTTCATTACCGTTTCCACTTTCACTTTTTCTAATTCTCATTCGCACTTCCATTCCCACTTCCACTCTTTCTAATTCTCATTTCCACTTTCACTTCCACTTTTTTATTTTCATTACCACTTCCACTTTTTCTAATTTTTATTCCCACTTCCCTTTTTCTAATTTTCATTCCCACTTCTACTCACATTTTTTCCACTTCTAATTTTCATTAGCTGTTGCCATTTCGACTAAAACTCTTTCTAATTTCCATTTATACAACCATTTCCACTTTTTTTAATTACCATGGATGGAAATTAGAAAAAGTGAAAGTGATAATGAAAATTTAAAAAATTAGGAATGGAAGTGGGAGTGAAAATATAAAAAACTTGTAATGAAAATAAAAAAGTGGAAGATGAAATGGGAATGAAAATTGGAACAAGTGGAAGTGAAAGTGTGAATGAGAATTAGAAAAAGTGGTAGTGGCAATGAATATAAAAAACTGGAAGTTGAAATAGGAATGGGAATGAAAATTAGAAAAAGTGGAAGTGGCAATGAATATAAAAAAGTGGAAGTGGAAATGGGAATGAAAATTAGAAAAAGTGGAAGTGAAGTGGGAATGAGAATTAGAAAGAGTAGAAGTGAGAATGGAAGTGCGAATGAGAATTAGAAAAAGTAGAAGTGGAAATGGGAATGAAAATTATAAGAAGTTTAAGTGGAAGTGAAAGTGGTAATGGGAAAGTAGTGGCAAAGTTTCTGTGAAAATATATTTTAGAAACTCCTTATTTTTTTATAGATACTAACGTTAGTAACATTAGTAATGTTAGTAACATAAGTAACGTTAGTGACGTTAATTTTTTCACCTGGGAATATTCAATTTTTTAAATAATTATTTAAATTTTTTTTGAATGCGTTCAGTTTAACAATAAAAAAAAAAATAAAAGGATTTTTGAAACAAAAGACAATTTTTATATATAATACTTAAAATGGAGGAGATTTTCAATTTACGGGCAAATTCGCGTGAAATCATTTGCGTCTGCGAAGTAACTTAATAAATATTTCCGTTCGTGGGTATCGCTTTGAAAATCGTACTTTGCGCGGGCAGAGAGAGAGAGAGAGTGAGAGAGATAGAGGGAGGGCTATCTGGGATTTCGGTGTTGAGCTCTGATTAAATAAAACGTGTCTGATATGGTGGATTTAATTTAGAGAGGACCCATTGAAGGAAAGGGGCGCGTTTCTAGGTTTTCGCCGCTTTTGCGAATAAATTGAAAATGATTGCGGAAACGCACATCGATCGAATATACACACACATACTATATATTTATATATATATACATACACACCAAATGAATAGATTCCCGGAGGTAATAACAGCCTAAGTTGTGCTCTCTCTCTATCGATCCGATAAAATACGATTTAGAGATAGTACTTTTCAACAATAGTGAGTTTGCAAAAAAAATTTTTTTTCCTCCATTGAAATTTTTATTGAAAATTATATTTTCCTCTTTTTTGTACTATTTGGACTTTTAATAGATAATTAAAGGAATTTTGAAATTTAATAGTAAATGGTATATTAAAAATATCCTTCATGTATAGTTTTTTGTTTTCAAATATCTCATAGTTTACTGTTGTGTAAATATGCTTAATAAATATTATTTCAAGTTGCACAATTTTCCGCGTTGAAAAAATGTTTCTAAAGAATATAAGCAATAAATATGTAAAAGAGAAGTTTAGTTATAGAAAATGAAGTGGATAATAAGCTTAAAATGTTAGACAGAAGTGATTAATGAAGCGAGAGTAACTTTAGCTGCATTTATTGAATAGTTTACGGAAACTGTTTCCTAAGCTATATGGTTGTGTAGGAGACTGGTTCCAGTGTGGCTTTTCCGGATAATTAAGTGAGAAATAATCCCAGACTATCGGAATTCTATATATATATATATATGTATATATTGTGTATGTGTTGCGTATGAAAGGTTTGCGATTCAATTTTCTCTCTAGGCTATACATATACATATATATATATATAGGTGACACACAACACACCATAGGTGCGCTTTAAATTGTTACCTTAACTGCAAAACAATCTGTGACCACTTACGAGGAAACTCATGTCTCCGCAACGTAACCCAGTCGTTTCCCTTTAGAACCATCGCCTCCACCCACTACTCGTTTCTATCAGTTGGAAATTCTCTTTCTCTTGTCCTCGGGATGAGTAAACTACTGACTTTAGTGCAACACTAATACACTTATTGCCGGAAATTACGCTAGTTTATCAAAGGCGTGGAAAACTTTTCAAAGGCTTTTGAGTCTTGTTGAAAGAGCTCATCAGTCCTTCTCTCTGACCAAGAGGATTTTGATCAGTGGACATCAGTCTTCCCCGAGAGGAAAAGAGAGAGAGAGATAGAGAGAGAGACAGACAGAGTTGATAATTTTCTACTTAACGCTAATATGAATGGCGATTCACAAACGATTCGAGAATATTTTACAGAATTTTCAAATTATAAGGAAATGTTTTAATTTCAATAATTATAGTAGAAATTTTAGTATTTTGCAATTTAGGGGAAATGTGTCAAAATGTGAAATATTAATATACAAATATGAGAGAAGCAGGTGCATGGCATGGTTGTCATGGAAACGGTTGCTATGGAAACAGTCACTTACTATGGTCCTAGTTACTATGGTCCTAGTTACTATGGTCCTAGTTACTATGGTCCTAGTTACTATGGTCCTAGTTACTATGGTCCTAGTTACTATGGTCCTAGTTACTATGGTCCTAGTTACTATGGTCCTAGTTACTATGGTCCTAGTTACTATGGTCCTAGTTACTATGGTCCTAGTTACTATGGTCCTAGTTACTATGGTCCTAGTTACTATGGTCCTAGTTACTATGGTCCTAGTTACTATGGTCCTAGTTACTATGGTCCTAGTTACTATGGCCCTAGTTACTATGGTCCTAGTTACTATGGTCCTAGTTACTATGGTCCTAGTTACTATGGTCCTAGTTACTATGGTCCTAGTTACTATGGTCCTAGTTACTATGGTCCTAGTTACTATGGTCCTAGTTACTATGGTCCTAGTTACTATGGTCCTAGTTACTATGGTCCTAGTTACTATGGTCCTAGTTACTATGGTCCTAGTTACTATGGTCCTAGTTACTATGGTCCTAGTTACTATGGTCCTAGTTACTATGGTCCTAGTTACTATGGTCCTAGTTACTATGGTCCTAGTTACTATGGTCCTAGTTACTATGGTCCTAGTTACTATGGTCCTAGTTACTATGGTCCTAGTTACTATGGTCCTAGTTACTATGGTCCTAGTTACTATGGTCCTAGTTACTATGGTCCTAGTTACTATGGTCCTAGTTACTATGGTCCTAGTTACTATGGTACCAATAGTAACAGTTACTATGGTACCAGTTACTATGGCAATAGTTACTATGGCAATAGTTACTATGGTACTAGTTACTATGAAAACGGTTGCTAATTTGAAAATTAGAAAAAATTAATACATTTAGAACATAATTTTTTCAGGAAAATTGTATTAGGAATGTATATTTTCGGAAATATTTATTTAAAGGAAATTCTAAAATTAGAAAAATGAAATTAGAAAAATCAACAGGGAACCTGATATTCCATATGAAATGAAATAATTAGCTAGGGAAATGGGAAATATAATAATCCATTTTTTTTTGTTTTGTCAAAGAAATGGCTCTTTATTAGCAGAAAGAAAAATTGTAGTTTTTTTTTTTAAAGGAAAGTAAGGGGGGACAAGTGGAAAGATGAAATATGCAGTTTGAGGCAATAAATTTTGAAGGTAATATAATTGCAGAAAAAGCATGACACGTGAGGCAGCAAACATGGAAGCCTCCGGGCCGTGCCGTTATATTGAAGACATGGAAAAGTGCTGCAAGCAAGAAATCGAGGAGCTGGGTGCTTAACGGACTTCGATAATCGATTAGAGGGAGTATGACGATGGCAGCTCGCTTCTCTCTCTCTCTCTCTCTCTCTCTCTCTCTCTCTCTTTCTCTCTCTCTTTTCCTCACACACATCTTGTGCGAGCATCGTTCGACTTCAAATGGGCGTGATAGAGAACTTGCAAAAGGGGGGGGGGGGGAAAGAAGAAGTAAAAAAAAAAAAAAAACGTGAGGGATTTTCTCCAAAGGTGCATATATACACACACCACAAAAATACCTGACGTATTCTATCGATTTTCAATAAATTATTACTATTAATTTTATTTCTCCCATTTTCTTCGAAATTAATTTTTATCATTTCTCGCTGAAAAAAAAATCCTACATTTAACCAATGATTTTTGTTACCATTTTTAAATAATTTTTTTGTCGTGGAGGAAATTTTTAAGCATGCAATAGATTTAGTTGGCCTTATTTTATATATATATATAAAAAAAGAGAAAAAAAAATTATGTAAAGTACCGTAAAAAATTTAAAGAGCAATTTTTACTTTTCAAAGTTGGCTAGTTCAATACATATATATGTTGAATAACGTCTTGGGAATCGATTACTATGGGAAAATGTCGGAATTAAGTTGTACCTGTCTGAAGCGAAACTTTAGCAGTTTTACAAGTTTTAAACCAAGTACCTCTTACTTCCGGTAACCGACTCGTTTGCTGAGTTATCGATCTATGCAATATGTATACATATATAGAGGAAGCAGATGGAACGAGCCTCTTTCGAAACGAGAATTTATGACTTGGTAGATCATCAGTGAATTGAGTGTATTATATATATATATATTTTATATATATATACGTATTGAACTCTCAGCGCATGCAAATTTTAAGTTAATCAATGATAAGCATATTTCAATGGAAATTGATATATGGTAAATAAATGAAAACTAAACAATCTCTTTGATAATCAATAATTAAAACTAAACATTCATGATAAGTAATAGAAAAAAAATCATTCACAAATTTCGTTAATGATCTACTGTGATTATAATAAATTGTAAACATTAATTATAATAAATTACAATAGACAAATTATAATTGAAAAATTATAATAATATAATTATTAAAAGAGAATGATTATAATTTAGAATAAATGATAAAGTTGATAGAAAGCAGAAAAAAAGAGAATAATTTTTCCTTAAAAATAAAATTGCAAAAAAATTTGTTGATAAAAAAAAGAGGAAAATAGATAATAGTAAAATATCATTTAAAAATATATTTATTTGGAGTTTGAATGTTGCAAAGCAGAAAATCCCCTTTACTCTAATGTTACTGACAACATCTGCCGGCAGTAGTAGTAACAGCAGCAGCAAATCTCGTAACTTGAGAAATTTCCTAATTTGTTTTACACGGGACATTTGCGAAACCTAATTTTCCCCAATTTTCCAAAGTGTTGTTGGTTCATTCCATTGCAGAACTTTTTTTTCGAAAATAAATTTTTGACTTTGAAATGAGAGAGATATATATAACATTTCATATATATATATATTGAAAGTCACTTCCGGAAAAAGAGTTTATCGTTTATTACTATGAATCATAAAGGCAATTTAATCCAACGACCCGTGGGAAATCATCTCGCATTGCATATCGCGTTGACATGAGTCTATGTATACATGTATGGAAAAATTTTTCTGAAAACGAACCCATGATTATGTCCTTCCAACGAGAATATTTATAAGGAACGTTTGATTTTTTTACTTTTCAAAAAATAAGAACTTAAAATTTTTTTCCCTATTTTTTCAAGGGTAAAAATGTAATTCTTAAAATATTGTATATGAGTAGTAAAGGTCAATTATGGTCAGACGTGGCTTTAAATTTTATTGAATTTTCCCGTATCAAGTGAAAGTAAATTTAAGCTAGAAAGAAACTTTTCTATTTTGTAAATTTTTAGTCTCAGTGCAAATCTTAGACAGACGAATCTTCTTTAATTCTTATTATTAGATTTCTTAGAATTTGTGTAATTTTCTAATTCAGTGGAAAAAGAATATTTTAGTTACACCAAATTTCGAATTTTTGGAAAAATTGTAAATTTCTAAAATGTCCTTTGGGAATATAAAAAAAAAATTTCCATTTTATTTAAATAAAAAATTTTTTTTTTCATAAATATAATATTTTACAATCAATATGTTGAAAATGATGATATTTCTAATTTTGTAAGTCGCTGTCTCATATCGCCCAGGTTATAGAGGAAAAGCTTAAAGCAATTTGCAATATTTTTGTGTTACCGTCTCAAAAAAGGGGAGATGAAGAAGTTCACCTGTATAAGGTGAAAGGTAGGAAAGAAGGGAAAAAAGAATGTGAAGGTTTTTGTAATATTGAACACGAGAGAAATGAAAAAAAAAAGGAAAGAACTTGATAAAAAAAAAAAAAAAAAAAAAACATGGAGAAGAAAAAAAAAGGTGAAAAGAAAGAATAGAAAAGTAAAGTGTGTGAGACGAAGGATGAAGCGCAAGCACAAAAGAAAGAAGGAAAAGTTTCGTTTTTTGACAGGAAACGGGATTATCGACGTCCTGTCAAGAAGTGGTCTTTCTTACACAAGAGTAAGAGTGAGAGTAGTTTTCCTTCTTTGCGATCGACATATATTTTCGCCTCTTTCATTCGAATGACACATTCTGATGGCTACTGTCACAAGAACCCTTCTAATGGACACTAGAAAGTTGCCTGCCGGGTAAATTGGCTCTTTTTTTTATTGCCTCCCACCAAAAAAAAAAAGAAAACTTGAAATTTTTAGTCAATTTTGAAAAACCTAAAAAATTATTATTATTATTTTTAATTTCAAAATGATAGTTTTCAATTCAATATTGCAAATTAAATTTTATTTTCGAATTATTTGAAAAGAAAAAATAATAAAAATTATTAGTTTGCAAATTACAGTGTGTTGGGGTGAAAGATAATAATATTCATAATCATATTTTCTAGCTTCAATATATAGTTGAATCAACCTGCGTGTTTGCCAATCGATAATATCCTAATCGTATTAGTCAGATATTACCATAAATTAGATATGTGCAGTGAGCCGACAGGCAGACATCTTGAATTGTCTAATGCAGATTTGGTAGTGAAATTTGATAGTCCCTCAAGATAGAAAATCACGAAAATTATTATTCAATGCAAACATTATTTTTCCAATTTAAAAGAAAATTTTTAATATTTATGGCAAATAATAAATGTATTAATTTTCATATTACACATTAATAATTTAATTTCAATTATAATTATTAATATCATATAATATAATAATATTTTTTATTAGTAGTATTATTATATAATGTAATAATTATTAATCTAAATCTCAATTACTAGGGGGGAATTTTTTTTTCTTAGAGATAATAATGCAATTTGTGATAATTTTCAATGAAATAAAGGGGATAAGAAAGTGACTTGAATTTGTGTCGGTATCTTTGGCACTTATCTTTCTCTCTCTCTCTATATATATATATATGTACGTGCATTTTAACTGGTATAATGTATAATAAATTTTCGGATAGAGAAGGTGCAAGATGAGGCCCGACTTCCATTCCGACCTCGACCCTGTGGTCTGATTTATTTTCCCATAGTGTAACCACGTCTCTTCGGTGGGTCCATTATCTTCTCGCTGGCCATTCTCCTACGCTACTGGCCCTTTGGGGTTTTACCAGAGCGGTTGCCATTATTCATTAGATAATCAGCCCTTTTTGGTAAACTGAAATCAATTACAAACACAACAATTCAATGTATCACTGTTTTTTTTTTTTTTTTTTTATTGTTTTACATTTGAATTTACAAAAAAAAAATCAGCATCATTTTGGGGGAAATTAGATATTACATTTGTTAGATAAAACTTTTTATTACAAATAATAATAACAATAATAATAATAATAATAATTAATAAATAATAATTATCATATATTAGAATAAATAATAATAATAGTAATAATAATAATAATAATAAATAATAATAATTTATTAATAGTATTTAATTAAATTATTAATAATAATTAGTAAAACAATGCCAATGATTCTTCTAATTTTAATCACAGTAGAAAAGGTCAGTATTAGTCAGACGGACATAACGGATTTTTTTTAAATGTCAGTAGTAAAACTTACATTTAGTCAGACATAATTTTTTTTTTTAATTTCTCGTGTCAGTAGTAAAAATCAGATTTGGTCAGACAGAATTTTTTTTAAATTTCTCGTGTCAGTAGTAAAAATCAGATTTGGTCAGACAGAATTTTTTTTAAATTTCTCGTGTCAGTAGTAAAAATCAAGATTTGGTCAGACATAATTTTTTTTTTTAAATTACCTACTAATTAAATTATTAATTTTTGCCCTCAGTAATTAAGGTCATTTTTAGTGAGACAATTTCTTGATTGATAACATTAGAAATGCGAAATAAAATTAAATTTCCTTTATTATTCGTGTCAGTTGTAAAAGCAAATTATCGTCTAATTTTTGTAATTTTATAATTATATTTGGATTATTTTTTATATTGAATTATTAAAATAATTAAATTCAATGTGAAAATAATTGTATTTGCATTCACCGTATATATATATATATATATATATACATATAAATCGGTGTCTGACTGAAAAT